GGCCTACATAATAGAATAGAAACTGCACCATTTACTGGAATGAAAAGAAGATAACCATTCTTAAGACTACAATAAAAAGAGGCTAGAGAAACCAAGTGAAAGCAAGAGCCCAATAATTTATCTGAGATGACACAGCTATTAAGTGGTGGGACTGGTACTTAGTCCTGGGTGGTCCATGCCCTACACCTAAAGCTCTAAATCTGTTCTACACTGGATATAAATATAGCACTTAAAGAAAGTGAACAAAGGGAGAGTTCTTTTTTTCCCCTTTATGCTTGCTGCCCTGTCAGCCATTGGTGAAAGTTCTGCCTCATCAAGATCCTGGCCCAGCCCCATCCACAATCTTTTCCCCTCTGATGTTAGAACTCTGCTCTGCTCTGTGATTGTCCTTTCTTTCTTGAAGGGTCATTGTGAGGACTACAGGATATAAATAGAGCAACTGAAAGAGTTTCTACATCTAAGATTTTATTATATGGGTTTTTTCTTTTCTCCTTTCCTTTCTCTCTCCCCCTCTTCTGACCCCATGTTTTCATTGAGGACAATTTTTATCAACTGAAAAAAATGAAGATTCTTTCCAAAAATTTCAGCTATTTACTGTTAAATTTCTATACTCTAATATTTTTCATTAAAAATAAAATACAGCATGCAATTCACCGAGGGTTTCAGTATCTAAGCCAACCAAAGTTTCAGAACGTTCACTACCACTCCTTGTTCATTCTTCGCACTCCTCCTAATGAGCCCAAAGATACCCATGGTTTCACCTTTCTTCCCTGTACCCACTCCTCCCTATAAAACCCACCACTCATGTCTACCAAGAACTTCCAATACCAACTTACCTAAAATTAATATAGCTCCTACACACCCAAGACAATTCTTCCCTTCCCGAACCCACAGTCTGGAATTCACCGTAAATTCCTCTCCTTCATTCACCCACATCCCCTCACGCAACCACATCCAATCAATGGCACCATCTTGTGGTTTCTACTTCTTCCATGACCCCTGAGTCAGGCCTATATTAGCCAAGCCACATCTATTTCCTTAAGTTATGCATGGTCACACCTGGATTACTGGGAGAGCTCTTCACGTGAAAGACAGAAATAAAAATAAACAGAAAAACAGTGTTGAGGAAACACATACAATTCAGGGAGAAGAATCTATTTTGTGTCCTCAGAGAGCTAAGGGAAGATAGGCAATCATGAATAAAAAAGGTTACTTTTTAAAAAGGAGAGGAGTGGGGCGCCTGGGTGGCTCAGTGGGTTAAAGCCTCTGCCTTCGGCTCAGGTCATGATCCCAGGGTCCTGGGATCGAGCCCCGCATCAGGCTCTCTGCTCAGCGGGGAGTCTGCTTCCCCCCCCACCGCCTGCCTCTCTGTCTGTCAAATAAATAAATAAAATCTTTTAAAAAATAAATAAATAAATAAAAAGGAGAGGAGCAAGCCTTCAGAGGAAAAAATAGGAGACCAGAAATTAAACACTTATAATGGTTAGAGGATAAAACTCAGAGCTTCTTCCAGAAACTGAAGCAAAAGACAAAAGGTTGGAAAACAAGAGAGAAAAGATAAAAAAATTAGAAGGCCAGTACAGAAGATGTAGCATATATTAATGATACTTCTAGAATGTGTTGAGAAAATGATAAAGTAGAAATATGTACCAAAAAATTAATATAATTTCCCACAACTTAAGGCAATGAATTTTCAGATTGTGTAGTACCAAGCATGACAGGTACTGGTAAGAGTAGTTACTGCTATCTGTTAGTGCTTACTCTGTGCCAGGCACTGTTCTAGGTGCTTCACATATTTAACTCATTTACTTGTCACAACTATCACTACCCACTTTTTAATATTTTTTTTTTTAGAGAGAAAGCACGTGAGTTGGGGGAGGGTCAGAGGCAGAGAGAGAATCTTAAGCAGGCTCCACATCCAGCACAGAGCCCAGTGCAGGGCTAGATCTCACGACCCTGCTATCATGACCTGAGCCAAAATCAAGAGTCGGACATTTAACCGACTGAGCCACCCAGGCGCCCCTATCACTACCGACTTTTACAGGGGAAGGAACTAAAGCACAGGAAAGTTAAATAATTTGTCCCAGACAACACAGCTTAATAAGCGGTGAAACCAGCATTCAATCCCGGTGGCGCGTGCTCTACACCCAGGGCTCTACCTGACCATGTTATATCAGATTATTAGTCTTACACCATGATTCCTATCATAACAGTGGGATCTAGAAGATGCCATAGCTTCCAGAGAGAAAAAAGCAGGTTTCAGGGAAAGCATCCAAAGTAAAAATGACTTTGGAATGCTAACAATACCAGAAACTAAAAAGAAATACAAAAATCCTCCACAATTTTAAAGAAACATTATTTACGACCTACAATTCTACACTCAGCCAATCTATCAATGAAATCTGAGCATAAAATACAAACTTTGGACAATAAGACCTCAAAAAAAATTTCCTCACATGCACCCTTTCTCAGATAACCACTGGAGAATATGCTCCACTGTAATAAAAATAAATAAATAAACCAAGAAAGAGGATGGTCAGACACAGAAGAAACAGGAGCACCTACATCAAAGAGTGTGAAGTGAATCCCCATGATGATAACATAGAAATCAGAGAGAGCTACGTAACCGTGTGGAAATAAACAGTTCAGGGTAAAGCAAGACAAGACTTGTGCTTGTGCTCTGTCAAATAAATCAATGAAATCTTTAAAAAATTTAAAAAAAAAGATGGGGCACTGGGGTGGCTCAGTCATTAGCTGTCTGCCTTCACCTTGGGTCATGATCCCAGGGTCCTGGGATCCAGCACCACATCAGACACCCTGCTCAACTGGAAGCTGCTTCTCCCTCTCCCACTTCTCCTGCTTGTGTTCCCTCTCTTGCTGTGCCTCTCTCTGTGAAATGAATAAATAAAATCTTTACTAAAGTGGTGCCTGGGTGGCTCAGTGGGTTGGAGCCTCTGCCTTTGGCTCCAGTCATGATCCTGGGGTCCTGGGATTGAGCCCCTCATCGGGCTCCCTGCTGCGCAGGGAGCCTGCTTCCTCCTCTCTCTCTGCCTGCTTCTCTGCCTACTTGTGATCTCCGTCTGTCAAATAAATAAACAAAATATTTTTTTAAAAATATCTTTACTAAAAAAAAGACAGAAGTGACAAACTGATCATCAGAGATTATCGTTTTTTAAACAGAAATAATCAGGAGATGCCATAGGTACAATGGCCAGATTTTAAACTAAAAAATCAGCTCATGTATGGTCTGGTGAATATATATACATTGACAAGAACAAAACCCAATTCTTGAAAATTCAAGACTTTTGATCTCCACAAAGGTCAACAGAGTCAGGCTGATACTCAGAGATTATAGCAGTAAAAAGGCAGTGATGCTCACAGCGATTACCGCAATAACTACTGGAATAATTCTCACTGTGGGCCAGTTTCCATTTAATCCTCAAGACAACTGTGTAGTAGGGACCAGTAACATTCCTGTTTTACATGAAAGAAAACTGAAACTCGGAGACATAAAGCAACTCTCTAGTGGTCACACCACTAGAAACAGCCAAGCTGAGAGCTGAAGAAGGCCACCAAGTGTCAAGCATGAACTCTTAACAAGGCCACGAGACCTTTGGGAATGAGACTAAGAGAACAGAAGACACCAAACCCCTACTGATTCATCTAACAAACACTAAATTGTGCTCAAATCTAATTTTCATTTTCCTAAAGATTTTAAAAACTTATTTGCCAGAGACACAGTGAGAGAAAGAACACTAGCAGGGGAGGTGGGAGAGGGAGAAGCAGGCTTCCCACTGAGCAGGGAGCCTGATGCAAGCTCGATCCCAGGACCCTGGGATCATGACCTGAGCCAACAGCAGACACTTCGTGACTGAGCCACCCAGGCACCTCTCAAATATAACTTTCATATCCAACTGTGCCATGCTGGATTCAAATTCTAGGAAAACTGATTTATGCTAGTCCAACATTTTTCAGCTTATTAAGTCCCCATTCTCTAACCTCTCTCTAAATAACCATTTTCCTTAAAATTAGGTCTTTGCATTTTCATGTCATCTGCATATATTTGTGTGTGTTTCACATGCTCCAAGGACATCCCAGAGAGACAACACGAAATTAACCAAAAGCAAAAGGACGGTTTTTTGGGAAAACACAAGCAGAAAGTAAGTTCTACAAATTGCCACTTTAAAAGTACCACATGAGGGGCGCCTGGGTGGCTCAGTGGGTTAAGCCTCTGCCTTCGGCTCAGGTCATGGTCTCAGGGTCCTGGGATCGAGCCCCACATCGGGCTCTCTGCCCGGCGGTGAGCCTGCTTCCCCCTCTCTCTGCCTGCCTCTCTGCCTACTTGTGATCTCTCTCTCTCTCTCTCTCTCTCTCTCTCTGTCAAATAAATAAATAAAATCTTTAGGAAAAATAAAAAAATAAAAAATAAAAGTACCACATGAGAGGGGTCCTTGGGTGGCTCAGTCAGATGAGTCTCCAACTCTTGATTTTGCTCAGGTCTTGATCTCAGAGTTGTGAGTTCAAGCTGCACACTGGGCTCCATGCTGGGCATGGAGCCTAGATAGATAGATAGATAGATAAAAATAAAGTATGGCATGAGAATAGTAATTGACGTGTTACTGAACATTGGAAACTAAAAGGTTACTAAAATGAAACCTAAAATTTTTCTTAACCAAATAAAATTTTTTAGTCTACCATGTTTAGAAGAATTTTTCTCTGGATGCCTGGCTGGCTCTGTCATTGGAACCTGTGACGCTTGATCTCATGGTTGTGAGTTCAAGCCCCATGTTGGATATGAAGTTTACTGAAAAATAAAATCTTAAAAAAAAAAAAAAACCAGAATTTTTCTCTCTCCTTTTTGGTGTCTCAAAGATGCAAATTCAAAATAATATCTCTGACAAGGAGTTTCCTCCTCCCTTGGTGCAATTTTACAAAAATCACAATGACTAATCACATAAACAACTTAATTCCAACTACTTTTTCATCTACTTACAATGTTGTCACGTGTGGTACAAAGGAAGAAGTAAGTGGCAGGAACACAGAAGATCCATCAGAGCTGTCCACCAACCCACAGGAGCTGGCTCGCCCACCAGTGGACATTTGTAGGTCTGCACCCAACTTCACACAGCAAAAGGCTGGAGACCTTCATTGCCTTTGGATGTGGAAAGCAATGAGTACAGGTTCAACTACGAGATGATATCACTTAGGTGGAAGAGGTCTTCTCAAACCAACTTGCCTTTCCCTTAGGGAAAGCTGAATTTCCTCAGCTACATTCTCCTGACATTTCAGGCGATTCAAACGCTTCATTTCATATTCCCTTTCAAGTTTCATAGCTGGAAAATAAAATATATGGAGCAATCCAACGGACCTTTTTCACCAGACATAATATTGTTAAAAATGAACATTGAATCACACGGCAAAATTCACATTCTTTGATACTAAACAAGAAGGGCTACATAGATGAGGGGTATGGTGTGAATGAGTATATTTAAACATTTCTTTGATAATAAGCAAAATAACACAGATAAAATTTGCTATTTGCTAAAGTAGCTTTTACAGAACTTACATTCTGCAGAAGGGAGTAGAGCATTCTTAATGGTTTTAGTTTTTTTGAGGTGTAAAGGACTACCAAATGAAATTTCTCCCAAGAATGGCAACTTGATGTTGGCTAGGTTCGTGTACCAGGTCTCTGTAAGCAGTGCAAGATCCCAAGGTTCCTGTCTGGAGCAAAAATCCATTAATTCATTCAAAAGTATTTACTGAACATCTATTGTGGGATATACAGAAGACATCTTAATTCTCAGTTCTATTTTCCACTAGATATTTTCGCTTATGGGGAGATTTCAGGATTTTCCAGAGTTGCAAATTTAGCCAGGAGAAAGAGCCTTACATTCAATGTATAATGTAGGGGCACCTGGATGGCTCAGTGGGTTAAGCCTTTCAGCTGAGGTCATGATCCCAGGGTCCTGGAATGGAGCCCCGCATCAGGCACTCTGCTTGGCAGGGAGCCTGCTTCCCCCTCTCTCTCTGCCTGCCTCTCTGCCTACTTGTGATCTCTATCTCTGTCAAATAAATAAAATCTTTAAAAAAAATAAATGTATAATGTAATACACACACACACACATACATATATTCTAACATAGAGATATATTGAAAAATTATGAATTTAAATGGCAGGAAGTTTTATTCAAAAATAGCCTCCCTGGGCACCTGGGTGGTTCAGTGGGTTAAAGCCTCTGCCTTCAGCTCAGGTCGTGATCCCGGTGTCTGGGATCAAGCCCCACATCAGGCTCTCTGCTCTGCAGGGAGCCTGCTTCCTCCTCTCTCCCTCTGCCTGCCTCTCTGTCTACTTGTGATCTCTGTCTGTCAAATAAATAAATAAAATCTTAAAAAAAAAAAAAGCCTCCCTGCAGTCAATCCAATCTTTCCATCTCTTTTAAGAGGATGTGATTAAGAACTGTATGCTCTCGGATGCCTGGTTGGCTTAGTAGGTTAATCATCTGCCTTGGGCTCCAGTCATGATTTCATCGTCTTGGAACTGAGTCCCATATCGGGCTCCTTGCTCAGTGGAGAGCCTGCTATTCCCTCTGCCTGCCTCTCCCCTTGCTTGTGCTCTTTCTCTCTCTCTGACAGATGAATAAATAAAATCTTAAATTAAAAAAAAAGAAAGAAAGAACTGTACGCTCCAAGTCTTTTATGGCTGATCACAATTAGGGTCATATTAGGGAAGGGAAAAGGGGAATAATCAAGCATTGAGCAGGGTGCTTGACATACACAAAGGCTTTGAGTGTGTGATCTTATTTCAATCTTTATAACCACCATGCAGGTAGACAAAGAAACAGAGACTCAGAAGTTAATTAAGAACCAGAGCTGGTACTTAGCCTAGGAGTAGATATTTAGAAGCACTAGAACCAAGAGAATCCTCAGAAAACTGGAGAAGGGGAGGAAATCCCAAACTATAATACTAAAAATAATCACCATGAACTTCAAATGAATTGTTTTATATGTTCTAGTTTGGAAATTTAAAATATCAACTACATGTTTCTCATCTCATAGAGTCTATATGAGTTCATATGCACTAGGAAAGGTAGAAGACCTGCTTTGGTACAAATCAGGGAAATGAGAGTGTTCTGTACATGGGTCTACTTGTTTTCCTCCTCCAGCTTCCTTGCCACTTCATCATCTAACTTTAAGGAGGGACTTGAAGTCTACAATTCTTATAAATGCATTTGAACAAGGACACAAAGACGTATTTATAAGAATGTTCACTAAAGCATTCTTTGTCCAAAAAATCTCACAAAATAGCCTTAATAATAGCGCACAGGAAGAGCCTAGTTAAACACACTGTGGTACATACACAGAATGAAAGAATGAGATTTATCCTTATATGTTGATTTTGAAAGATGAGAAATAAAACACCTAATTTTTATCTAGCATTTGCTGTATGCTGGGCACTGTTTTAATCAGTTTGCCTATATGAACACTTTTAATTGCCACAGCAACCCTGTGAGGTAGGCAGGTATTATTATTATGTTCATTTGAAGGATTAGGAAACAGGAGTAGAACAACTTGCTCAAGATCACAAGGCTGTTGTGCTCATGGGTTTAGGATTTGAACCCAGAAAGTCAGACTCTAGAATCTGAGGTCTTACCCATTAGGCTACACAAGAAATGATGGGAGAGGGAGCAAAGTTCATAGCTCCCCCCTGCTTGTACTCGATTGTTCTCCCTGTCACTCTCTCTCAAGTAAATAATTTGAAGAAAAAAAAAAATCCTAAGGGGGGGGGGATGTACCTGACATTTTTAGGTAGATTTACACTCTCTACAGAGGAATTTTTAACGTAGTTGACAGTAGTAGATATTGCTTCCGAGTAAGAACAGACTTCCATCCCTGTCACTTGTTTACTTCATGACTGTGTGATTTTGATCAACCCACTTCTCCGAACCTCAGTTTGTGTTGTTTTGTTGTAAAGACCAAGTAAGATGATTTATAAATTCTTATTAAAAGCATTTCCCAAAAAAAAAAAAAGCATTTCCCATTAGGAACACCTGGGTGGCTCCCTGGGTTAAGCCTCTGCCTTGGCTCAGGCCATGATCTCAGGGTCCTGGGGTGGAGCCCCACATCGGGCTCTCTGCTCAGCGGGGAGCCTGCTTCCCCCCACCCCCGCGCCCCTCTCTCTCTGCCTGCCTCTCTGCCTACTTGTGATCTCTTTCTGTCAAATAAATAAGA